TGTAAATACACTCTGTTCCTGTATACACCAACCCTGTCTGATGACAGATGGAACCTCCAGGTCTAACTCAAACCATACCTCCACTCAAATGTACACGTTAACACAGAGTCCAGGGTTAGGGAGGAGCCAGGCGAGGATTCAGGCAGGACCTGCGCAGAAGAGTGGCAGAACACCAGTGTCTCTACATCCATATTGGATGCACACACTTACTGCTCTGTGGCTCTGCATACCTGAGGGGCTTTGGCATGAAGTAGGCCCTCATGCATGTGCTTGGGTGTGTGTGTGTGTGTGTGAGCACATCACCTCCTCCAGGGCGGGCAGGGCAGAAACCCCCAGTGTGAGTGCCAGTGAGCCCTTACATGGCCACTGAACACAGGCCCTTTGCAGTCACAGGGTCAGAAGCTCACGCTATACTGCTGTCAGAGCAGATTGGTCAATGAGCAGCCCTTTTCAAGGAGTCAAGGTGCTTTCATAGCAGGGTTGTGTGAGTGTGTGTGTGTGATATTTACAGAACATTGTAAAAACCGAAGAGGTTTGCAAACATTTTATTTTTTTATTTTCATTTTATAGTCTGTCCTAATGCTATCACACCATACGTATCTGTTTTCTTTCTACTTTTCCTCTATAAATTATTTGTATTATTATTATAACTAATTATTATAAATCGCCACTGATATCGAACTCCTAACCCAGGTTTCATTTAGTTCATCACTCTTCCGTAATGTTTTTTTTTTTCTTCGTAGAAATGTTTTATTTATGTTGGGGGAGGTCACTTAAAACATCTCACAGCTGAAAATTACACATGTAATCTGTCCCGGGGGGATTCAACGGAGAAACAGTCGGTGAAGTGCAGGAAAAAAACTGGTGGTAAATCACTCTCTCAGCCTTATCTGGGTCGCTGAAGACCGTTATAACGCCACTCAACATGAGCGTCGGAGGCGCTCGTTTTTATCCCCATGGGCTTCAAATGTGAAGCCAAAAATACACACTGTACTTCGTGGGTGTTTTCATCGACAATAACCGTAAATAAATAAATAATAAATAAATAAATACAAGTTAAATGTTTTACCGTGTCTTTTACCGGACATTTTGAATAATTAACAGTTGGTATTCCTGTCCCGTAGTTTTCCATTATTTACAAAAGAATAAAACAAAATATGATATAAAAGTAAAGTGATCGTATACCTGCTGCTACACCTGAAAACACCACTTTTTTAGGATGTCCGAATCTATTTTTGAAAAAGCAATAATATATATTAAAAAAATCGTAAAGAAAGAGCCGTCCTCCTTTCATTTCACATGTGGCCGTCCCGCTGCTGTTTCTCAGGCCCTCGGTTACTAATCTGTGCAGGTCAAGTACATCACGGTGTCTCTTTACACTTTGGAGCAGAATTTGAGACCCGTGCAGCTAAGTATGAGTTGTATCGTGTATATGGACGGATGTTGTCTCTCTCTGCTCCTCCTCCTCCTCCGCTGATACTGCGAGTGTGTGTATCAACAGGTTTTGGTTTCACCTTGTGGTCTTGACATGGCAGGGCCAACTGAGATGCGTTCACGGAGCTGCCACAGTGGCTGCTCTCTTCTGTGTCCTCTCCAGGTTTTTTCTCCCCAGTTGTCCACATCTGCCCTCCAAGCAGCGGTTAGTTTGCACAACAGGTCCGGTCTGAGTGTTGTCGATCAAGAACACGGCCATGAGCTGCTGTTGTTTTATAGACAAACACTGAATTGAGTTTTAAACAAGACGCTTTAATATGGCTTTTAACGCACAGCTTGTACTTTGGATTTATTTTTTGTATTTTTTGGTGTTGGAATTCTTGGCCTAAATATTTTAACAAATGCGTCCAATAAAATATAATTTTCACAAACACATTTTAAAAATATAATTTTAAATGCGTACTTTATTTTATTTCAGTCACTGCATGTGACTCCCCAAAGTGAACGTTCATTTTTGGTAAGTTATTTTTAGGTTTTATACTGGCATCCGTTTCAGTCACGACTCGGTCTCCCTGTAGACTGACTCGTCAAATCATTTTTATTTGTACGAACTAAATTCGAAAACACATTTTTGAAAATGACGAGTACCGAAAGAAAATATATAAATGTAGCGTGGTGTTGCAGGCACATAAATACGAAATTAATATAGTTCTGGTCATCGAACAAAATATGCAATGGTTTTATTTTCCATATAAACACATTTCTCTGCCAATTATTTCAATTGTTATAAATATTAATATCATTATTGATTTAATCTGACACATGATACCGTCTCCTGCCTGATAGGCCAATATTGGCCTGCTTTACACGAAATAATTCGATTAAAATTATTAAATTATCTCGAGATCTTTTCAGAGTTATTTACTGACTGATACATATTATATTATAATAATTAAATTTATGGTCAAATCTAGCTCATGAAATAAATAAATAAATAAATTCTATATACTCCTAGATTGGAAAAACGAGACCGTACTAATAATGAAAAACAAGTAAAGGGGTGTGTGTGTGTGTGTGGGGGGGGGGGGGGGTGGGTGTAGTGTTTCCTCCATTGCCATTGCCAGATCTGCTTTAAAGAGCTGCACAGAAACAAAGTGGGAGAGCAGGGTACAGACCTCATCCTTCTCTTTTCTCCTCCTGTCGGATTATTCTCCCCCCTTTTTTTCACACGTGGGAACGGCTTCACCCCTGTTTAGTATTCTCTCACTGCAGCTATCCCAACAATGAACCGACACGCCATTCAAGTGGAGGCAGGGACCACATGTATAAAGTTGCACAGAGGATATTAGTCTGTGCTGGTCGGGTCTGTACCGGTCTGTACTGTACCTGCAGAATCTTGCTGCGCTTCCTGTAATTTTAGGATTTAACCATTAATCGAAATTGATCATGTATTATTGTTGATTTAAAAAAATAGTAGATTTGAGATTTGAAGTTATTTGATTCTATTTGAAAATATTAATATTGATACTATTCTTATTAATATTATTATTTATTATTTTATAATAATAATAATAATAATAGGCTCTAATCAATTTAATGCAAATCTACATTAATGCAGGAGCATCAAAGACTCTTGTGCTTTCCCTCCCACTGGGTTTGAGTTGATCATCAACAGTGGGAGGGGGGTTGGCGGGGGGGGGGGGGGGGGGGATTTGAGAATC